TATATATATATATATATATATATATATATATTGTTATTGTTATTGCGTTTTTACTAGTGTCTGTAAAGTATTATTTTTACAAGGTTATCAACTAAAGCAATAAAACATTTTCTTTACTTGAAATAAACATTAACTAAAATAAAATGTCAGTTATTTTTCATTTTCGTTTAGATTAAATACTAAAGTAGACTAAACCTAAAAACTGAAACTTAATAAATAAAAGATATATTTTTAAAAATTGAAAAAATGACAAAAACTTACAACAAAATTGATAAAACATAAAAAAAATTAAAACAAAATATAAACATAATTTATTTAAAACTATAGTTTTTATTATGTATAATGTAGTATAATATAGTATATTATTATGTAGTAGTATTAATGACACTAAAATAACTCGGATTCTTAGCCACACAATGGCTTTTCTCACTGCACATAACCCTGGTTTAAGGCGATTTTATTTCCTCAATGAATTCTGTGGCCGTTGTGTTTTTCTCATTCACTAGATTTTGAAACTGTATCATCAGCACCACAGCTCCATTATCTCATAAAACGCTTGGTTTCCCACAGATGAGGCTGACTTCCTTGGCCAGATCTCAATGCAGTGATTTGATGACCACAGCTTTCTCATGCGCTAGTGCTAACTCGTGAATTTGAGAGTCTCTAGGGCATCTTAATGTTGGCCAGGTTCTTTTAGTGTAACAGATGGGCAAATGTGGGCTCAGCTTAACAGTGTTTGTTTGACAATTTGGATGCGTTTGGCTGTGTACTAGACACGATGAGTGCTAGCTGGAGGACGTGTGAAGAGACTTTGCCCACAGACAAAGATCTAATACGATGAATCTCTCAAAACCTGTCAAGAACATGTCCGGTCTGACCGGGTCATATTTCTTCAATCAAATCAAAAGAAGGGACGAACAGAGGGAACATGTAAATTTTTAGTGGCGATCTTGTTTTAAACTTGTTTTAATTAAAAGTTGATTCTGTATTTGTGTGAATAAACAAATGTAGTTTGGTAATTAGCAGCTTAAGCATAAATTATGGCTTTTAAATATAATGTCAATTGGCTACAATTGGGCTACTTGTCTTTTATAATGTGTGTGTGTGTGTATATATGCATGTGTATATATATATATATATATATATATATGTATATGTATATATATATATTAGTGCGTGTGTATGTTTTAATTTTTGTTTAAATAATTTGCATATGCCCCTGAGTGTCTTTATTATATCTCATAAGTTATTAAGTAGAACACCCATTTACAACATTTATAATATTTAATTTAACAATAATCGGATATGCTGTCACAGGAATAAATTACATAAAAACGTAAGAAGCTTCTTTAAAAAAAAATAAAAATCTTGCCGATCCCAAACTTGATTTTTTTCTGTATTAATACAATATTATAGTGAATATGTAATAAGAATTAATAAAAGTAAAAGATAATAAAATATAAGAAATACAAAAAAATAGCAACATGTCCAGACTTAATTTTTGTCCTTTTTAAAATATTTTATTTTAATTAATTAATTAATTTTATTTTATTAGTTTAAGATTAAATATGACCTGTTTTTGTAAGATTCACCCAATAGCTTATTTGTCTACCAGAGCCACACATTGATCACTTTGCAGCCGTGATGCTTTAGCGTTTCATAAATGAGCCTCTGTAATACTATCATCTGATCTTTTGATCTCTATATATTCCCTGATGACAGCCAAAGTAATGTTCCACCGTTGGCCAGAATGTTCAGCTTGCCCGCTGCCACAGCAACACTGTTTGTGTCAGTGGATCGAGACAAAGGTCAGTCGTCTCTAGCACAGCCGAATTCACACGTTTCCCCCTCAAGATGGGACGGAGACGTGCATGCACATCCATACTTATGAGAAGATGTATCCGAGTAGAGTCAAAGCAGGCCCTTGTCACATGATCCATGTTTGCTCAACCCAAGGAAGTCATGTGGACCTTCTTTGGCGTCCTCTTTTTGTTTTCCTGGAAGTGGCCTGCGAGGCATTCGGTTTATACTTAGCTCATCCTGGTTGGTCAGCAGCGTGCGCTGGGGAACCAGAACGGTGTGTTGAGCCGGTGGTAAACAGAGGATCGACTGTGCGATAACACAGACGTTTCTGATGAGACAGCATGGCAGATGTGGGTGAAAGGGGAACACGGGAAGCTTAGTGCTCATCCTTGACTCATGGATGAAAGGGGTCTGTGTGTTTGTGTTGATCAGGCCATGTGTTCAGGAGTGTGTCCCTGCTCAGACTCACGTAGAGCATGCGGCGGTCGGGTCAGGTGTGACTCATATATATCAGTGAGCTTGTAATGAGTCTGAGAGGGAGGCATTTACTGCCCTTTCACCACACAGTAAATAGAAGTTGAGCCAGACCACCAACGATTTACAGGGAAATCCCACTGTCTGCCACCGTCTGCCTCGGTTTGTCTCAGTGCCCTGCTGAATGGTGGATACCGTGGATGCAGTATCATACACTCTCAGAAAAAAAGGTACAAAAGCTGTCACTGGGGCAGTACCTTTTCAAAAGGTGCACTTTTGTACCTTTTATGTACTAATATGTACATTTTAGGTACTAATATTTACCTTAAAGGTACCAATATGGACTGTTTAGGTACAAAGGTGTGCCGTTTGAAAAGGTACCGCCTCAGTGACAGCTTTTGTACCTTTTTTTCTGAGAGTGTAACCAGGTCTCATTTCACCTCAAAATCAGATATTGTATTAAAGGGGTGGTTCACTGGATTTTTTCCAGGCTTTATTGTGTTTATGGGGTGCAGTCTAACATGTGTTAATGCTTCGTTGAAAAAAAAAAACACATTATTTTTCACATAATTTACCTTTATTCCACACTGCTCTGTCCCTTGTCTGAGAAACACGATGATCTTTTCCTGTTTTTATGAAGCCCCGCCCTCAGAAATAGGCGATGGGCTCTGATTGGTTAGCTAGCCCAGTGTGTTGTGATTGGCTAAACCGCCTCTAGTGCGCGTCTAAACGTCCCGCCCCTCACCTCAGCGGTATGTGCTCCGGTTGGCTTCGTAACTTTGCAGAAATCGTTTATGCTCAAACAGCAACATTACACACTAATGTTAAAAAAGTGAAATCGCAATCAACCACCCCTTTAAAGAAAATTAAGTTGACTTTTATGACTGTTAAGATTTTTTGCACTGCAGTATTTTTATTTTATTTTATTTTATTCCGTTTTTATATGGAAGTCCAAGCTTTGACCAAGGTTACATTTATTGGTTCAAAAATACAGTAATAGTGTAAAATTGTATTACTACTGAAAATAACGTATTTCTGTCTGAATATATTTTAAAATGTAATTTATTCCTGTCATGCAAAGCTGAATTTTCAGCATCATTCTTCCAGTCTTCAGTGTCACATGATCCTTCAGAAATCATTCTAATATGCTGGTTTGCTGCTCAAGAAACATTTATTATCATTATCAATGTTGAAAACAGTTGTGCTGCTTAATATATTTGTGGAAACCGTGATATGCTTTTTTCAGGATGCTTAGATATAGAAAGTTTAAAAGAAAAGCATTTATTTGAAATAAAAGGCTTTTGTCACCTACATAACTTTGTAGAGTTTGATTATAATTCTAGCAAATATTAAAATGATCTGCACTATAAACACTTTTATAAGCTGATAAAAAAAAAGAATAATCCCAATAAGCCAATTCCATAGGACTTGTTCTTTCTTTTCATGTCTGCCCTGCGTCAGTTGGGCGTCTTTGGTCAATACATCATGACTTTATTCTGTTTATTCATTGTCTTTTACTATGCGGGCCATTCAATAAATATTATACACTGTACAAAATATATTGTTACTTTTCTGCATTAGAGTAATGAAAATGAGTGTTTTTTCCACAACATCACAATGAAATAAAAAAATCTTAGTAGCTTCATTTTTGAGTTCTTAAGTATGAGTTCTTATTTCCATCTTTTGATTTTATGGAGAAATATAAACCGAAATATATTTTTGCATAACTACAAACATTTTTGGTAAATATTTAAAAATATATATGTATATAAAAAAAAAATTATAATCTTTTTAATGTTGTGATTGTTTTGTGATCTCTTTTAGGGTCATGGGTAGAGCTGGAGATGAACAGAAACGCTGCATCTCTCTCTTCCTCCAGCGCCTCAGTGCCACCCCCTTTAGCCCAGGTAGTAGAGGAGGATGATGGGATGGTGGGGGGGCTGGAACACGTTCCCTCATCGTCTTCCATCCACAATGGAGACATGGAAAAAATCCTGCTAGATGCCCAGCACGAATCCAGCCGCAGTAACTCCTCATGCGACAGGTAGACACCATATTTATGTCATTTCTGCCACAAAATGAAAATTCTGTCATTATTTACTTACAATCAAACCTAACACAAGTCAAGCATGAATGAGAACTGAGTGGAATTGAGAAAACATGGAATGACACAACAGAATTTTCATCTTTGGGTGAACTGTCCCTTTAAGATGTTGTTTACATAGTCCACGTTTTTATATATATATATATATATATATCATCTGCAAATGTCACCTGAGTTCACAGCTTGAGTTTAATGACCTCATAGATAGAGAGCAGTGCTGTGAACATCCATACCAAATTACACGTGGTCACACTGACCTCATGCTGATAGGATATGGCCATAATAACCCTTATCTCACTCAAACTCAGTGAGTCATATGATTCTGGATGTTTACTGTAGGAATACAGTGTTCCTCTCTCATATGTACACAGACTAATGTTCTCTCAAGCACTGTTCACACAGAAATGAAAACTGCCGTTCTAAACCTGTATGAATGTCTTTGTGCTGGGAAACACAAAAGGAGATATTTAGCAGAATGTCCCAGCTACTCTTTTCCATACAATGAAAGCTGTTGGGACAAAAATGACAACAAATGATCATAAAATTATCTTCTGAAGTCATACAAGTAATTTTAATGACAATTTTTAGCTTACTTCAAACTGCTGTGTCCCACAGCCCTCCTCGACCTCACAGTCCTCAGGATGAAGGCCAGATCATTTTCGACGTGGACATGAGGAGGGACAGTCAGGTACTTCCTCTTGAGAACATTGTGGATCATTATGGAACGTACTCTGGCTTATCTTCATTACCTGTCTGTGCTTGTGTTTGGGTGTGTCTGTGTTCACTCAGGAGGAAGTCATGGAGAAGATCAGAGATGATGACATATTAATGAAGGATTCAGACCGGGTCGCAGACTGGTCAAGTAGACCTGAGAATATTCCACCTAAGTAAGCACTAGCGAGGACTCAAATGCAGTGCTATTTAGTGTCTTTCACATACTATTATAGTTTGTATTAATATTACATTTTTTATGTCCATTTTCATTTTAACGTTTTTGTCTTTTTTAAGTATATAGTTTTTATCAATTATTATTTTAGTTTAAGATTTAGTACATCCAATTAAATGAATGAAAATGAGAAATGTTGTCTTGGCAATTTTATTTTATTTTTTTCAGTTAATATTTATTTTGTTCTAACAGATGTTTTTTTTTTTTTGCTTTTAGTTTTAGTTAACTATAATAACCCTGCACTGCCCACAAGGCTATCAGCGCCGACATAATTCTGCGATGTTGCCAAATTTAGGTCAGAATGAGGCATTTTAGAATTTAAAACAGTACTCATGCCAGAATTATGCATATGATCCCTTAACAAGTGATCTGGATAGGGAGCTCACTAGGTTTTGTGACACATATAGTGTTTTGAGTTTTTTTTTTTTGTTCAGGCAGGGTGGGATGCTGTTGTAATGACTGGTAGATTGATCTTTCTGACAGGGAGTTTCAATTCCGGCACCCGCGGCGTTCAGTGACTCTCAGCATGAGGAAGACAGGAGCCATGAAGAAAGGAGGGATCTTCTCTTCTGAGTTCCTCAAAGTGTTTATCCCCTCACTGCTTCTGTCCCACATCCTGGTCCTGGGTCTCGGGTACATACACCTTAAAACACAACCACACTTCACACATATGTAGTTTAGGCTGCCTTCTAGTGCTCGTACCTCTGAGTCTGACATTCGTTATTATGAGAAGTTACACATTCAAAACAGAATCGTTACATGAATGCGAAAAACAAAAGAATTATAATTGTGAAATAATTACATCAATCTATCTATCTATCTATCTATCTATCTTTTTTTTTTTACTTTTGTCATTTATACATCTTATCAAAACAAATGTTGGGAGTACATAAAGCAAACTGTGACAGTTAAGCAATAAGCAAATAATAGCATGTAAAATGAAAATAACAAAATTATTAACTATAATTCATTATAGACTTGATTTCTGCTCATAGATCTTTTTATAAATATTATAGATTTTTTTATGTGATATTATATATATATATATAATATTTATATTTCCACAATGGTTTAAATCAACAACTAGGCAATTCATGTATTTAGAATTCAGAATTTCCCAGTCGTACATACAAATTAGCTTGGTCATTTATGTGCTCAAAACTCGTAAATACAGTATTTCCGACTCCACTTGAAGGGCACATTACTTAATACAAACGGCCTCAAAAACGCACAATATCCACCTTTTTCCTGAGTAACTGATGAGCTCCGACATGATGGATTCTAACTTCTGTTTGGATGCTCTCCATGTTAATTCCATGTTAAAATGATTGACTGAATTAATTAAACTGAAACTTTCAAAATATAACTAAATATAAAAATGTGCACAGAGTTGAGCATCTTTCCGCTATGAGGCAGACAAGACTTCTGCGTTCAGGAAAAAGGTGGATATAGACAGCATACCATGCAATTTTGTCAAATCTCTCAACTAGTTTTCTCAGAATAGCTTTGAAAACACAACTCTCTTTCCCAGTGAAACAATAAATAACCTAAGCACCCTGACTTCTGGAAGTTGCACAAAACTAGACTTGAAGATTTCAGATTCTGGAAAGCTTTTACATTTTTTGTGTGGGATAAGCATGTGGTCACATTTTTGTAATTTTACGGGTGAAATGGGTCTATTATTTATTGCCAATAGTGTAGTGATGTATGAAGCACTGCTCACACAGAAATCACTTTCAAACCAGCATCTTTTTGTTGGTTTAATGTGGCGATTTTGCGTGATCAACTCAAAAGCGTTGTAAAATATGCTCTGGGAAATCTTTCACCCCCCCAAGCAAAATTTTCAATCACGCAGATTCCTATTCGCAAAAACTTCACTGAACAACGGTAAATCGGTGACTGCACATTAACAGTATTCAATATTCCACCACCAAGACAATTCACACACAACTGATTAGTATGTATCTTAAAGACATAGTTCACCAAAAATTTTTAATTTTGTCATCATTTTACTCACCCTCATGTCGTTTTAAATCTGTATGAGTTATATAGAAGATATTTTGAAGAATGCTGATAATCAAACAGTTGATATTTCCGTATTTATTTGTTAAAATGATTGACTGAATTAATTAAACTGAAACTTTCAAAATATAACTAAATATAAAAATGTGCACTTCTGGAAGTTGCACAAAACTAGACTTGAAGATTTCAGATTCTGGAAAGCTTTTAAATTTTTTGTGCGGGATAAGCATGTGGTCACATTTTCATAATTTTGCGGGTGAAATGGGTCTATTATTTATATATTATGAAGCACTGCTCACACAGAAATCACTTTCAAACCAGCATCTTTTTGTTGGTTTAATGTGCCAATTTTGCATGACCAACTCAAAAGCGTTGTAAAATATGCTCTGGGAAATCTTTCACCCCCCAAGCAAAATTTTCAATCATGCAGATTCCTATTCGCAAAAACTTCGCTGAACAACGGTAAATCGGTGACTGCGCATTAACAGTGTTCAGTATTCCACCACCAAGACAATTCACACACCACTGATTAGTATGTATCTTAAAGAGATAGTTCACCAAAAAATTTAAATTTTGTCATCATTTTACTCACCCTCATGTCGTTTTAAATCTGTATGAGTTATATAGGAGATATTTTGAAGAATGCTGGTAATCAAACAGTTGATGGTTCCCATTGACTTCCATAGGAATTCTTTCCCTACTATGGAAGTCAATGGAGACCAACAACTGTTTGTTTCTTCAAAAGTCTTCAGAATATCTTCTTTTGGTGTTCAAAATAAGAAAGTAACATATACAGGTTTAAAACGACATGAGGGTGAGTAAATGATGACAATTTTTTGGACTATTCCTTTAACGACAGTGCAATATTCCACATATGAAGTGTTTGACTTTTTCATTTCTCTTTCTTTTGTCCTGTATCTCTAAAACAGGGTCTATATCGGTAAAAGACTGACAACTTCCCCTGCAAGCTCCATTTGAACACAGATCTGATCAAGTGCCTCAGGCATGGCCCAGGTGGATTAGGGAGAAGGTTGCAGTTTGTATGAAGAAGCCCCCTGCTGCCCTCTTCTGCTCCTTTAAGTCCTATCAGCAACATCTCTC